TTTATCTTTTTTATATATGTAAAATGTTTGTAAGCTCGTAACTTCTAAACGGCTGCATTGAATTGAATGATTCTTTTTTATGCGTGTTCATTTATGTCTGGAGAAGATAAGTAAGAATCATTTTAGATAGTGACCAAGATTGCTAGTTTTTTATGGCATAAGCCGGTAAACCAGCAGTTGGATCACCTGATCAAGCAATCGGCGTCGCCCATGGACACCTGGAACACCAGAGGCGATACAAGTGCGTTACCGGCCTTTTGGAGATTAGGAGTTTGAGGATCGTTGGAGATTCAGGAATTGGGGATATTGGGGAAGGCGAGGGGTAATTGGGCCGGAAACCTCACTCACACGACGAAACACAACGCAAGCGTTGCTTCACGTCGGTTTTCTGTAAGTGCAGGAGTAGAAACGGGGTGGTTTTTAGCCAGTAATGTCGGAATACTGAAACGCTACTCAATTTTAAGTCGTGCTTAAGTATAGTTCTATCTCTATAAATTCTTTGTAAAATGACAGAGATGGCACAATATTTGAGCACGACTTAAAATTGAGTAACGTTTCAGTATTCCGGCATAAGAGTCTGACACTACCTCCCGCCTCACCCAGGCGGGAGAAGTAATTCGATGATTTTCCCCCCATAAAAAAAAGTCTGTTGTTGCCATTAACTACTATAATCTCCATAAAATAAGAGGCGTGGTTAAAATAAATGTAATGTATGCACCATCATATTATATTTATTTACTCGTCCATCACAATCAGTCAGTACATAGCTGTTACGTGAAGCCGAGAGTAACAATATTAATACAAACACCAGCACATCAACCTACCCAAAACCAGCGACCATCGCCAAAGAATCTTCAACCTTATAACTAGGTAGGTAAACTTGGTAATTGTATGAATTAATTTGACAGCTTAGTGTATTTTGATATGCTGGTATGTAGTTATTTTGGCGGCGCCCCGAACCAATGTTATTTTTATCTTAGCTATCAATCATGACATGATTGTAAACTACATACTGTTGAACATGGATTATAAATAAAATATTACGTAAATAAATAGACGTGTATTGATGGAGTTATTGTACGATGTACGTGTTCGTGTTACTCGTGTGTGTGTGTATGTGCGTGTACGCATATTATTAATTGAGTAAACTGATTTTTTTTGCTATGTAGTAACGGTATAATATAACATAACATCATGTCTTTTATCCCCGTAGGCAGAGGTGCACATTACGGCACTTAATACCACTGTACAATGTAACATCCACTTTTCACTTTTTATGTTATGAGTCCCATGTAATAGGGGGTGAGCCTATTGCCATATACCGGCACATTTCCAGACTCTGTGCTACTACTGCGATTTTCAAAAAACCCAGTAATAGGTACTTTGCCCGACCTGGGAATCGAACCCCAGACCCCTTGCCCGGCAGTCGGCCTATGAGGCAGTCTAGTTACGGTATAGTAGCATATACATATATACATATGTATTATGTCGGCACATTCATTGTTTTCTACGAATGTTGCAAATGTCGAAAAGACTTCAAATTCAACAGAGACAAGGCAGCAGTCGTTGGGGTAAACGTGTTCTAGAGTGGTGACCGCGTCTAGGCAAACGTAGTGTAGGACGCCCTCAAGCTACGGTGGGGTGACGATATCCGCAAGGTAGCTGGCAGTGGTTGGATGAGAGGAGCTGAACACCGAGCTCAGTGGCGTGCCATTGGAGAGGCCTGTGTCCAGCAGTGGACGAATACAGGCTGATGATGATGAAGGCAGCAGTCTAATATACCTTATTAGGCGATAGTAGCATTACAAACCCTAGGTAGATTATGAACTGTCATACATTAAATCTATTAATAGATCAAGGAAAATATATTTTCCTAAAGATTATATAGTAATTTGCCTTTTGGTAGCCAGATTATAATCAGTGCTATTTATCCCGGTTCAGAGTGCCCTTTCATGCGGATAAATCGTTGCCAGGGAGGAGTGTCTTGTGTGTGGGCCTAAAGAAGATTTTATTTGGATGAGGATATCGGTCCTTTAATGAGAAAAGCTAATGAAATATCATGTCTGATTTTCCTTGTATGTACTTACATAGAGATATACCTACGTATAAAACTAACGGTCTTTTGTTGGTTAAGTCTTTCAGATTTTCTTGATCACAAATTCTATCAGTCGGTTTGCAGGGTATAAAAATGTCCGAAAATTATGGTTTTTAGTTATAGGAACCCAGGCACATGTTTATATCGTAAGCACGGGCCTGCGAACCAACTCGTCGCCCCACCAAAACCAGACCATAGCGTACGGTGCGTCGCTTTCCGCACGCGCCTCAAAAAGCCATCAGACCACCACAGATGGAGCCCAATAGAGCTGATGTTTTGCTATGAAACTCCACACTTGACAAGCAGCTTTTAAGACAATGCTGTAAGACATAAAGCTATACTACGCGTTTCGCACGCGCCTCGAAGAACCACCAGACCACCACGGATGGGGCCCAATAATGCTGGTTCTGCGGATAACGTAAAAAGTTACCAAGGCTCCGGATCGTTGTGCAGGGGCAGGAACAGGGTGGACTTTACAGTCAGACGGATATCGTCTCACCCGGGCGGGAGAAGTAATTAGATAATATTGCACGTATAAAAAAAATACGAGGGGATCCACATGGTGCATTTTCGCAATCCATTTTTCAAATCCGGTTTCAACCAGATACAAAATTGTTTCCAACACTTTTACTAAGACTGCGATATTTGTGTTAGATAACATATACCAATGAGTACATGCCTCGATGTATGTATGCACTATGTACGTCAGCAAAACGATTTCTACTAAAACCGTATGATTCGTCTAGTGACTAGTGACTGGAGGGAAATGATAAGAATAACGTCAAGCAGTCTATTAGTAATTTCCTTTTTCCTTTGTAGTCATAATATTGTGTCAAACACATACGGATGACCGATAATGTAATTATGCTGCGACTAACTCATGGTAGTGGTCCCTTACTTTCTGTATCTTCCTACTTCAAAATTTCTCGAGAGATTTCAGACGACTCTTCTTAAACTGTCAAACACCAAGCGGTCACCGGTGACCGCAACCTATTGTTCTATAATTGTGTCTACAAAACCGGTACTCGACGAGTTAATTGCTAAAAAGATTGCGGGACAATTATAATAAGTTGTTACCAAATTCAAATAGAAATCGATAAAATCGAACTAAGAACAAGGGTGTGGCCGCACACAATTATAAAAAGAAAAAAGATCAATCTACTCAACCAAGCATTGTTTAAAAACACAAAAAAAAACAAGAAATTCCAATCGTACAAAAATACTTTCATGTAAACTATTCTTGCAGTAAAAGATTGCAATATTCCACTGGCGGATAATAGGACCACTTTTAGCTCACCACTAGCCAATAAAACGCAATTTTTCTTGCAACGTTGCGCGGGCGCCGGCATGTGTGCAACTAACCTATAAATTACAAACAAGGTCAAGTTTAGCGTGTTTTGTCTACATTTTAAAAGAAAAGCACCTGCCTTCTCTTTCTAGTTGTTATAAGAATATTATGGAATGTAATAAAATAAAGGTACACGGGAATTAGAGCTCGCAACCTAGGTACCTACCTATTCGTCCATTAGTTCCGTCCATGCGACAGGGATGAGAGCTGAAATAAAGTATCCCTAATATAGCCAATCTCGTCGTGGTGGCCGGAGGTTTAAGACGCCCGCTTCTCATGCATCCTCATGCTTGAGAAGCGGGCACCCTGCACCCTCGTGCAGGTTCGAAACCTAGCAACGGCAAGTACCAATGTGACGTTTTCCGAGTTATATGTACTTTCTAAGATTTTTTCAGTCACCACTGACAAACGGTGAAGGAAAACATCGTGAGGAAACCTGGGCTTATAATTTCTAATTATAAGTTTGTGATCCGCAACCCGAATTGAGCAATCGTGGTGATTAATACTCAAACCTTCTCCGTGTGAGAAGAGGCTTTGCATAGCAGTGGGCACTTATAGGCTGTTGATGATGATGATGAATATACCCAATCTTCAAATTTCTTAACCTTATAAGGCCAGTAACGCACTTGTAACGCCTATTGTGTTTCATGTGTCCATGGGCGGCGGCCGGCGCCGATTGCTTTACGATTAGGTGATTCGTATGCTCGTTTACCGGCTTATATCATAAAAAAGTGTTCAGGAATATTTCATTAGCAGCAAATATTAAAAAACAGGGACCAATGAGACGGTTTACGGTTGATGGATCGTTTCATAACAGCAACCCCTTCGAGAGCTGAAACCTATTTAAATTACACAACGTAATTCTAATAATTGCAATTAACATAACATAAAAGCCGTGATAGGACAGGAAGGCGTAGGAAGGCGCACATTACGGCACTTAATGCCACTGTAGAACACCTACTTTTCGCAACTTATATTGTCCCGTAACTTATGAGTCCCATATAATAGGGGGATAGCCTATTGCCGTATACTGGACACGAATCCAGACTCCGTGCTACTACTGAGATTTTTTTAAGCCCGGGAATCGAACTGCGACTGCCAACGAGGCAGCCAATCCCTAATCTACGGCATTCTACTTGTGAAACCGAAACAATAACAAGGGTGCCCTTGAACTTAAACAGTTCATGATAGGGTGTCCCGTGACCTTGTTCAGTTGTATAGGGTTACGTACCTATTGTTTATTATTATGATTATAGTGGAGTGTATTTTCTCTGGAGCGTATTTAAATATTCATCTTGACAAGACCATTTTCACCGCGACCACGGCGCATAGAACTATATTGTAATGTAAAAACAATTCACTTGTATTCTATTGCAATGGATAGTCCAAATTTAACAAGTGAACAGATTAATGTAAAATTTAAACACATTTTAAATATACATTTGTCTTCCAAAAACAACAAACAATTGTTTAGGTCTGCTCTGATACCCACCCGAAAAGACCAAGGTCTACTCGTCTTCTTGGTCTTTTACTGACAAATCTTTCTTGTTGTTACAGGTAGATGACCCTGGGCCTGGGCCAGACTTACAGCATCCAGTACAGCATGCAGGTCTTCCGCGGAAGCTGGAGGTCTTCCCTCTACCACGGAAGGCAGAACATGAGCTCAAGTTTAATGTATCGTGGATACCTTCCTTAGGTAAGTTTCTTTAGTGACTTAAGAAGACTGAAAAATAGATGCAAGTAGATTGGATAAGAAATGGTGACAATAGAGTTCAAAATTGAATACTGATTTCGAAATTAACATTTCATATTTAATACAAAAGTTTAGGTTGAGCATAATTACTGCTTTATTCAATATCAACTTAGTAGGTACCTATCTATGTACATACATTTGAATTAATCATACTCAATGACCACGAATATCAAAGGAGATTTTAGGGTTTAGTCTAGATCTTGTCTGGGAATCCCTTTAATTATGTAGTGCCGATTTTAAACACGATGACAAAGCGAAGGTTAAACCATTATCAACACAACAACAGACCCTTTTGAAATTGAAAATCCGTAATAAACGAGATCTGTTTAATAACAAAAAAAGAACAAGCATTACTTATGACGTAACTCTATTTACCACTTAAATCTAAAAATAACCAAAAACCAACTATATTAACATCACAACATGATCTATTTTAGAACTAAACTCCATAGAATAGAAAGAAAACCCAGTATTTTAACAAGCTATTTGCGTCAATCAAATAAACGCGAGACGTGAATGAATGGAACGGTAGTCGGTAACAAAAACAGACATACATAACGGAAACTCGGTATTATCGACTGATGAAAGAACATAACGATCTTTACCACCGTCAGTTCAAATGAACTGATTGTGATCCGTTAATGCATTGCGTTGACGTCGAAAAAAGTGATGGCATTTAGAATTTGCACGTTTCTGTTTACGATTTAGATAGAATTTTGGTCGTTATAATCTATCATCTAGTTGCTGTTGGTTTATTAACGTTAGGTATTTTATATGGTAGTCATTATTGAGTTGCAGACCCTGAAAAACTATAAAGGTGCTCCCTCATCGGGAGCGTTCACGTGTAATCTACCGTTACAGGTCTGAGCATTACATCAGTGAAGGAGGAGAACCGAGCATTACAATGCGCACCTTGTAATGATACAATGTCTAATATCAATGCGCTCCAAATACGGAACAACTTTGGTCACCGATTCATGGTAGATGTTCCGCCCACACGCACGAAGCGCTTCGCTTCAAGCTTCCTTGTGCGTACTGCTAAAGAGTGGAATTCTTTGCCAGAGTTTGTATTTCCTGAAGGGTATGGGTAAGGGTAAGGGTACCTGGGAGTTTTCAAGGCCCGAGTGAATAGGTTGCTTATGGGACGACGTGCTCCATCGTAGACCGCATCATCGCTTACCACCAGGCGAGATAGTGGTCAAACGTCGCCCCATCAAATATAAAAAAACTTTGAGATTTATTATTTGTCTTTTCGACCTACCATCCGTGAGTCACTGCAGGGTGCCACCAGAAGACCAGCGTTGAATGTTACTACGCTCAACATAATGCTGAGGTGGAGGCCTGTTCGGCATGGGCATGCATATATTTTTGCTAATTTTGTGATGTTTATTTTTTGTTTTAAATTTGTTTTTATTTATATTTTTTTCTACATCTCTGTGCATGTATCTTGTCAAATAAATGTTTTTCTTTCTTTCTTCCTTTCTTAGATGCGAAAAAGAAACACGATTAATGAACTTGTACCTGAAATTCCTTCTCAGTGCACTGACGCGGCAAACAATGCATGCTGATTGGTGGATAAATGATAATAGACTATTATCGTAAATGTTATCAATGTCATTTTGTGATTATTGTGTCTGATAAAATTGCTGCGTAATTTTGATCTGCTACTAGTATCAGACATTTTGTTTGTATAATAATGTATCAGACTAATGTAATACCTCGTTGATACAGTCTACTCTAGTAGTCGTACTTTGTTGGGTCTCTGATATCAGGTGTAATGTTTGGTATTTTCGATTCAGCAGCTGTAGCCAAGTGCCGTTCTCCGCGTGTCTACTTGTAGAGTAGAAAAGCAAATTATATGGAATTGACGTAAATTTTGACGCTCGTCAGTGTCATCCCCATACATTTAGTTTTCTACTCTCTCGGTAGACAAGCGCTAAAGTGGCGTTTGCCTAAAGGCACTGGATTTCTTGTATCGCCAGAACTGTAAATTACGTCTAAAGAATTCATTTTTTATTTAAGAAAAAAGGGTCATCACACTAACCACAGTCAGCCATTTTATTTCAATGATATAGTTACTCTTCTCGATTGGATGGTCACAATTTTCTATTAATGTATTTAACTGTTATGTAATAAACTAGTTCTGACTCGACTCCCGCACGGAACAACACTTTATGTGATCCAAAAATTTTTGTCTGGGTATCAGGTGCGTGTGAATTTGTATGTCTCTAAATGCACCTACGACACAGGGGAAAATCCTAGTGTGGGGCAACGTTTAAAAAAAATGAATAGAAAAGAAATTAAAATGTAAGTCACGCGTGGAACCATTCAAGAAAAGTCCTTAATAGAACTTTTCAGCGCGCTTCCTCGATAAGAGTTCCATTATAAGAGTATACCGGAGGCCCAATTACTCTATCTCCAGATACTCTCGAACCCCCAACAACTCTCAAATACGTAATTCCCAAAAGGCCGGTAACGCACTTGTATCACCACTGGTGTTTCGGGTGTCCATGGGCGACGCTGATTGCTTACCATCAGGTGATCCGTCTGCTCGTATACCAACTTATCCCTTAAAAAATCTCTTGATGGGTTACTACACAAAACCTGCTTTTGATGCTTAACATACACGCTCATGCAACTGTTAAATAATTTTCGGCCGTACAACAACCAGGTGTGTTATTGTGCCAGTTATCTAAATACGGGTTTAGCTTGAAGAGTGGTGGGCTTAGGCCCACACAATATTGTTGATACTGTTCATCCTTGATAATGAATGTATTTTCCCATAGAAGGTAGCATGTGACATTACCATGTAAAAATATAACATATTCTTTTGCCTAAAGGGACGAGCAAAAGTAGCCAGCACATTATCTTTACTTCTATGTGTTAATTTTGTCATTGAGTATTCGACTTTATACCAAAATGATAGAGTTGAAAATCTAATAACGATATATGACAGAAAAGAGTATATTGCTCTGCTGCCCGTGTGCCTATGCGTATCAAATGTATATCGTGTATGTATAGCTAATTTTCTTCGGTTAGACTTCATGAAACCCGTTAAAGAAGGGTTATCAACTTCATGCGAATGAAAATCAAACGAAAACTCGAAAATACTTTTGCTGTGACCGGTTAACCATTCCCTTCACGCAATTACAGACATAATTTGTTTGATTACAACAACACTCTCTACTATAAGTATTTATTTCATTTTCGAGAAACACTTTGATCCCCTAAAAAAGCCAAAAACACAAGTCAAAAAGAATTAAAAACAAAAGAACCAGTAAAAATTAATACAAAACGAATTTCTTACATCATTAGGCCTTCACAAAGCTCCATAAAACGTATTATAAACTCATAAACTGAATCTAACGGTATACTCAGATCTGTAGTCAAAACAAATAAATTACATTGTGGTCTGCATTCTGGACAGAAGACTTTAAATCACCATCTTGTTAGTCAATCACTTTTGTGTACGTCATTCATCAACCAATGGTATTTGTAAACGGTGCAAGTCGAGTAAAATCCATTCATCATCACCCCGTCTCCGTCCACTGCTAGACATAGACCTCTTCAATAGCACATCACTGAGCTCCATCTTCAGGTCTTCGCGTTCAACCGTTGCAACTTACCTTGCTAATATTGGCACTCCACCTCGCTAGAGTACACCCTGCACTACGCTTGCCTAGACGCAGTCTCCACTCCAGAAAAATTCCACTCAAACGGTCGTCGGTTCTTCGAAAAATGTGACTGGCCCGCTCCCACTTCCACTGGCAATAAGGCAAAACTTCAATTCTCCGTCGAACCACCTCGTTATGGATTTTCCGATAACAAAATTTACAGTGATAGTCCCTTCTAGTAACCCTTTTATGGTATCAGGATCGCTTCCTTTTTTTATGGCATAAGCCGGTAAACGAGCAGACGGATCACCTGATGGTAAGCAATCGGCGTCGCCCATGGACATCTGGAACACCAGAGGCGTTCCAAGTGCGTTACCGGCCTTTTGGGGATTAGGAGTTTGAGGATCGTTGGGGATTCAGGAATTGGGGAGATTGGGGAAGGGGAGGGTAATTGGGCCTCCGGTAACCTCACTCACACGACGAAACACAAAGCAAGCGTTGCTTCACGTCGGTTTTCTGTGAGGCCGTGGTATCACTCCGGTCGAGCCGGCCCATTCGTGCCGAAGCATATCTCTCCCACACTTAGACTTCTACACGGGACTCATTAAACTGTCAAACACCAAGCGGTCACCGGTGACCGCAACCTATTGTTCTATAATTGTGTCTATAATGACGGTACTCGACGAGTTAATAAGCTACTTTGATAGCTAGGATACCAATACAAACCTAGTAGGAATAAGTACTTTTTGTCTTAATACTGTTTTGATATCATGATGAAGAAGATTTTTGTAACTGTGGACTGGTACTGGTACAAAAAAGCTAAGTGCTATTATTGCACGTAGCCGCTAGATAGGTGTTTTTCGGTTAAAACTTGTACTTATTGTTTTGATAAGAAATGATAAAAAGTAAATTATTATGTTTTCGGCTTACTCACATAATAATTTGACGAGGAACTACTACCAGTAGCAGTGCGACAGTCGCCGCGTTGCGGGTCGTGAAATGCAGCTCATGAATATGAGCCTCTAGCATACCTTGAACTAGTCGAGTTCCTCGTCAAATTATTACGTGAGTAAGCCGAAAACATAATAATTTATTGAGTATGTCTCACGAAACTTACAATACAAATGATAAAAAGTAATACGAAACTAAGTAGTTTACAAGTGTGTTGATTTTACACATGATCTGATCTGTTTTCAACCAGCAGTTCGGAATCAAGGTCATTTGTTGACCTTGTTCATTGAACGTAAACTAATTAATCATTACGACTGATGTTTGGGTGAATCATCGATGTTGTTACGTATTGATTCATATAACTAGAGACCTATATTCACAAACTTAATTCTAAAATTAATAAGCCCAGTCCCAGAACCGATCTAGGCTTTTAGTAAATTCATCACTAAATCAATTCAAATATTTTGAACTAGCGACCCGCCCCGGCTTCGCACGGGTGCTTTATGCATGTATTATACATATAAACGTTCCTTAAGAATCACTCTATCTATTAAAAAAACTGCATCAAAATCCGTTGCGCGGTTTTAAAGATACAAAAAACATAAAAACATAACATCACGCCTTTTATCCCCGAAGGGGTTGGCAGAGGTGTACATTACGCCACTGTACAATGTAACACCCACTTTTCACTATTTATGTTATGAGTCCCATGTAATAAGGGGTGAGCCTATTGCCATATACCGGGCACAATTCCAGACTCCGTGCTACTACTGAGAATTTATAAAAACCCAGACTTCGCCCGACCCGGGAATCGAACCCGAGACCCCTTGACCGGCAGTCGCACTTGCAACCACTCGGCCAACGAAGCAGTCCGAGTTACTCCCGATTCCCGGGGCGGGCAAAGTATTACTGGATATAAAAAAATCTCAGTAGTGGCACGGAATCTGGAATTGTCAAGTATATTAAGTATTATGGCAATAAGCTCACCCCCTATTACATGGGACTTATAACAAAAATAGTGAAAAGTAGGTGTAACATTGTACATTGACATTAAGTGCCGTAATGTGCGTCTCTGCCTACCCTTCTGATGATTCCGATGTTCTGTTATGTAACAGTTAGTAATTTTGGCCATATGTCTGGCTGCCTTTTTTGAGGGGGGACTAATTACCATCCCGTTCTTACTCCTGCTCTTTGAGCCGGTACCCTGGCAACCCGTCAACTCCTTCACGGCTCAAGTGTGCATCTAAATAACATCTAAATATAACAGCCTTAGAAAAATCAAAGAAAATATCCGATTTCCATGATCCACCTAATGATTTCCACGTGCTGTCTACCGAACCTCACGCCGTCCACCTAATGGATTATCTATACGATATTCAAGTGATCCTTAAGATTGGAACTCTTCAAAGTTCTATAAGCCGTGATGATGTCCTCTTGACCGACTATTGAAGTGGATTAGGTTGAGAATAAATGGTTTCACGTGCTTGCTGAGTATGTACACAGAGCCATCGTGTCCTTAGACATCGTCCCTTAAAACTGGGTCATTAACTGAATATTTGTATACAGATGTTACTCGCTACTTCACCTGCGTGTTCAAAGGAAAAGAATAGTGGCAGTATCATTTTTTTTTATGGCATAAGCCGGTGAACGAGCAGACGGATCACCTGATGGTAAGCAATCGGCGTCGCCCATGAACACCTGGAACACCAGAGGCGTTACAAGTGCGTTACCAGCCTTTTGGGAATTAGGAGTTTGAAGATCGTTGGGGATTCAGGAATTGGGGAGATTGGGCAAGGGGAAGGTAATTGGGCCTCCGGTAACCTCACTCACACGACGAAACACAACGCAAGCGTTGCTTCACGTCGGTTTTCTGTGAGGCCGTGTGGTATCACTCCGGTCGAGCCGGCCCATTCGTGCCGAAGCATGGCTCTCCTTCACTTATTGTTTTTTATTGGTACTAAACGTGGAAGGCATTTGGCTTCTATCTCGTCTGATGGTAAGCGGTGATGAGGCCTACCTTAGGGCACGCCTCCACAAAGGCAAACTATTCAATCAAGACGTAAAGACACCCAGGCTGTACCCTCAGAAAACAGAAACACAGGCTCTGGCAAAGAGTTTCACTATTTCGCTGTTGGCACAAGGAAACTCTTCAGCCCCGTCCCGTTCCGTCCCAAGAAATCATAATTACCATAAAATTATTTCATTGTGACGTGGGAGGAAGACTAACAAACTTGTGCATATTTCATTAAATTTAAGGATAATAATTAATGAGTGTTTTTGAGTGGTGACCTTAGAAATCACACGTATACTTTTCGTTATCTAATCGGTCATTGACTGTTTACGATTCATTGATCTGATCGCGATTTCGTTTAAATGATAAGTAAATGATCTTTTTCATGGAAATACGAACAGTTAGGTTAGGTCACATACGCAAAACCAGAGTTTTTTTTTAAGAAAATCATTTAATCACTTCTCTTTCTCTCTCTTGAGAATGCTTCTTACTGACTAAAGACGACCCTGCTCTTTGAGCCGGAGCCCCAGTAACCCGATAGGCCTTCTGCGGCTCTGTTCCGGGCAAAAGCCTTACTGGACCCCATCTGTGGTGGTCTGATAGTCGGTCGGTTCTGGTCGATCGGCGACCTACCCTTCCACACCGTCCGCAGACCAACACTTACGGTGGCCAGGGATCGTCGCGTGATCTCCGACGCCCAGAGTGTCCCCCGCGATGGCTGGAGCGTAAGGACATTCATTCTGTCACGTGCCCCGCCTCCTCCTTAGCTAGCTTGACTGCTTCGCAGAAGGAGAAGAAGATCCAGAGGAGTTACAAGTGCGTTACCAGTTTAGGTAGAAGAAGCTGTTATAGTGTTGGGATAGTTCGGAATAAAAAGGTCCAACTTGCAGATAATTAAGTGTAAGAAAAAATGGTATAAACCAATAATAAATGTTTTTAACTGGTTACATACAACCTCACTGGCAATGTCACTGAATGAGAGAGTCACTGGACGAGGAAACGACTGGTTAGATCGGATTATGAATTAGTAAGTACTGTTTGCCTCACGGGATGACAGGCAATGCCCTGGCTGGTCACATACCTCTACATATGCTTAAAGTGCATACAATGTATGACAAAGCGTTGGACAAAGGTCTCCTCCAAAATCTTCCAGTCTAGTCCCTAGGAACAAAGTTTATTGTGTTCATATATCATCGGAAATTGTTACTTGATCTAAAATGAATTTAAAAAACAAACATCTAAACAATTCTTGATTTCATCCAAGATACAAAGATTATTTGCGACAACTGAACCATTATTTTCACTAAAATTGGTTTCTGATATAAAAATAACTCATCACAAATTGCTACGACTTGTATCTTTTTATAGATAGGTTTAGAAAATAGATTGCTTTAGATAGAAGACTAGATATGTTATTAACAATAGATCTTTAGCTTAAATATCTATTATATTTGTAGAAAAAAATAAACGTCATAGTTCAGTAGAGCGGAATTTAAAGAGATTAATTAAAAATAGAAGATTTCAATAATAAAACGAATTGGGATTGGTCCACTATTAATTATTCTAACCCTAATAATACAACTAAAACTAATATTACTTTAGGTTTAAATTTCTTTGTCACGTCAGTTGGTTTTGCCAACTAACACAATAAAAATCTGCTTATTTTGTTATGGAATTATCGTCTTTCGGTAGTTTTAATAGTCCCAAACGGTTATGCAGCCCTATTGATGAGCTGTTAGCTACATTTCACGGAGTGATTTCAGAGGCCTTAGTACGACTTTCTTTTACGTTTAAAGTAATCGTAACGAGTTCGGCGCTGTGATTGGTTGGTTCATTGGCGCCGGCCAATCAGAGTGCCGAACGCATACTCGGTTCGAATACTTTAAACGTAAATCAAACTCGTACTAAGCCCTCAGTGCATAAAGTCATGACGTCACTAAACAAAATAGGTATCACTGGTTACCAAAATTCAATGTAAAGAGTCAGAAATTCTCATTTCAGGATACACAAACACCTACCCTATAACAGTATGAATAAAACATAATTTAAGTAAAAACGCGGGTTACTCACGTGAATATACTGAGAAAAGCTCTACTAGTTTCGAACCACAGAGGGGTTCTTCCTCATGAGCAGCGTGCGCGGTCGCGGCGACGTCGCGCAGCTCACTGTAGTAGAGCTTTACGCAGCATACTCACGTGAGTAACCCGCGTTTTTACTTAATTTAGTATGTCTCACGATAGTTATTATAAAAAATATAATTTTGCCCACAGGACCACCCGCAACGGACTATTCTTTAGAAGTACGAAGCGTGACAGACACGATAGACTGTCGGTCACAAATGTGTTATGAATACAACATTCCTGGGGTAAGTCAGTTTGTTTATATATTATCAGTTTGTTTATGTTTTATATACGTTGTTATTGTTGATCGAAGTATACTACCTTTTACCCGCAGCTTCGTCTGCGTCTATAACCAATATCCTTCTCTGTACTCCGAACTACATGTGCTTATGTGAAATTACAAGAAGATTAATTGAAGATAAAGCGTAAAAGGTAGCAGATTTATATTTTCTCATTTTTAAAACCATTTCAAATACACACCTTTTATCTGTTGATACACCGGCTCCCGGTATAAAACACATTATACCCACAACTTTACATACAAGAGGATAACTTAGTAGTTGTTCTATACAAAATTGAATAGTTGCCAGGGTATGAACATTAAAAATCTAATTAGACCGTCAGCTATTGAAAATATATCCATTTTTGAAAAATATTAGACACGTATTTTTTTATTTGTCATATTAGAAAACATAACATAACATAACATCACGCCTTTTATACTCGAAGGGGTAGGCAGAGGTGTACATTATGCCACTGTACAATGTAACACCCACTTTTCACTATTTATGTTATGAGTCCCATGTAATAGGGAGTGAGCCTATTGCCATATACCGGGCACAACTCCAGACTCCGTGCTACTACTGAAAATTTATAAAAAAACCAGTAATACTTTTCCCGACCCGGGATTCGAACCTGAGACCCCTTGTCCGGCAGTCGCACTTGCGCACTCGGCCAACGAGGCGGTATTAGAAAACAATACTTAGATAAAACGAATCAAAGTTTACGAGTGGGAGGTAGCTACGTCATATGATATTTCAAATTAATATATCGTCAAAAATATTGCTGCCTCTTTGACCGAGTGGTCGCAAGTGCGACTGCCGGGCAAGGGGTCTCGGGTTCGATTCCCGGGTCGGCCAACGTATTACTTGGTTTTTAAAAATCTCAGTAGTAGCACAGAGTCTGGAAATGTGCCCGGTATGGCAATAGGCTCACCTCCTATTACATGGGACTCATAACATAAATAGTGAAAAGTGGGTGTTACATTGTACAGTGACATAATACACCTCTGCCTACCCCTTCGGGGATAAAATGCGTGATGTTATGTTGTTGTTGTTGTTGTCAAAAATATTTAATTCTGTAAGAAAAGAAAAAAATACGTGTCTAATGTTTTAAATTAATGTACCAGGTGGACATAAAAATAATAATTAGGATTTTCCAACAGCCAATGACTTGGTGGGTGATCCCATCAGTCACAAACCCCGTAGATGAGCAGTGTGCCATTCGCCCCGGTTGTGCCTACATGGTGAGACTAATCGCACATCCCTGGGATGGACACACCTCGGCTAATATGCATGTAGAACTAGATGGTAAGTTTTAATGGAGACATTTTTTAGCAAATAAAAATGAAATATAGGACTGCGTCATTGATGTCAAGTACAATAGCGAGCTTTTTATTGGCGGCAAACGAACAGATGGGTCATCTGATGATAAGCATACAACACGGTGCTACCCACAACACTAGAAGACAATCTTTTGAGAATTTAAAAATATGGATAGGGGGAGAGGAGGACTACGGTAGAGTAACTTATTTCACGCCGAGTTTTGTGAGGACTATCATTCAAGTCGAGCCGAATTATTGTCACTTGTTTGACAAATCAGCTTAATTAAAAATTGTCTTAGCTTTTGGATGTTATATTATGACCGTTAGCGCATTGGTAATCTTAGAGAAACTTAGAATTATTCAATAGGATAAATAACATTTTTTTATGGGATAAACCGGTAAACGAGCAGACGGATCACCTGATGATAAGCAATCGGCGTCGCCCATGGACACCTGGAATACTAGAGGCGTTACACACTTGTAACGCCTCTGGTTATCGGTCTTTTGGGATTAGGAATTTGAGGATTGTTGGGGATTCAGGGATTTGGGAAAGGGGGGAGGGTAATTGGGCATCCGGTAAACATAACACGCCTTTTATCCCCATAGAGGTAGGCTAAGGTACACATTACGGCACTCAATGCTACTGTACAATGTAACACCCACTTTTCACTATTTATGTTATGAGTCCCATGTAACAGGATAAATTAATACGACCAAAATTTTACTATGAAAAATATTTCTAACCTACCATTTTGTTCCAGAATGCGTGGTAGGAGTATGCTCGTGTGCTTACCGTCTCCGTCTTCCTGAACCTTCGGTTACTGCTCAGACAGTTACAATTAAAGGAGAAATGTACGCCAATATAAGCTGGACTCTGCCCAAACCCAGCTTTCCACAAAGACTGCCGTCCCCTAAGCTGGGCAAGAAAAGCTATGTTGTCAGGTAAGAAAACCTTTGTTTACAAAGTACTTGTAAGAATTAAGTTATCGTATCTAAATATTTAGGAACCTCCCTCAGTAATAAAAGTGAAAATATTTTTGTTCAAATGTCTTAAAGAAAGAAAAAAAAGAATGAAAGAAGACAAAAAGAAAAACTGTTTATTTTTAGCCACTCTTTAAGGGCTCGTACACAAAACTGCGATGCGATACGTTGCAAATTCGTGTGATCATTCCTTCGACGGCCGTCTATCGTAGGTACTAAACGTATCTATTTTATCAATTTCCCTTATTTTTCTAGGATCTATTATAAATCCTTGAAGACATTCCGAAGAAAGTTTTAGAAAGCAAAACTGTTTTTGAGGGTAAATTCGTTGTTTTGGCCGCACGTCAGGCGAATGAAGGGTACCAAACCTTTCTCTATTGGTTTTCACACTATATATAACTAATTAGTAGATGTATATGACTGCCTCGTTGGCCGAGTGCTCGCAAGTGCCACTACCGGGCAAGGGGTCTCGGGTTCGATTCCCGAGTCGGGCAAAGTTATACTAGGTTTTAAAAAAAAATCTCAGAAGTAGCACGGAGTCTGGAATTGTGCCCGGTATACGGCAATAGGCTCACTCCCTATTACATGGAACTCGTTACATAAATAGTGAAAAGTGGGTGTTACATTGTACAGTGGCATAGTGTGCACCTCTGCCTACCCCTTCGGGGATAAAAGGCGTGATGTTATGTTATAAGGAAGAAAAGGCATGGCATGCAGCAGTCAGTAATAGCCAAAGATACTTTTTAAACACATATCGTACTTCCGGTGCTATACCGTCACTGGCGTCACTTATGTATTGCGGGGGCCCGCGCGCAACTGAACAATGAAACATTGTTTTTCCTAGCGCCGTCCAGATTAGCGCCAAAACCGTAACGACAGTAATGCCCTAACAATGTCAGTTTGCTTACTACACAAATGACAATAACGCACCAATTAAAGCGGTGAATTTGGAGTATTCTTTCATAATCAGTTAAGTTTTGACAAAAATTGCATAAGTGACGATATTACACCGTAGGTGCGATATGTAATACTCTCCAAAATTGTAACATCAAGTTAACCACTCGCCATGAAGAACCAACCTGTTTTACCTTTCAAAACAACAACGAGAGAGAAAATCCTCAGCCATTGCTTGAAAAAACACATATATATAAATATGTATTTGTTTACAAAAAATGTTTTTTCCTTCTAAAATATACGAAGATCGATCTACTGACGCGACATCTGTCTTTTTCTCACGAACCAAACGATACATCTCATTGATGACTGAGGTAAATGGATTATTGTGAACGAACAAAAATATTCTATTTTCAAAAGATATCTTACTTTTGTTTTTTTTTTCTTTACGTGGTTGCCTCTTTGAGTGTAGTGTGGATTAGGTGTGTGTTTGTACATGATGTAGTGTGTGTGTAGGTATATCAAAATAATATTGAGCTTTTAACATTTTTACAATTTACATACATAACAAAGGGGTAGGCAGAGGTGCACATTACGGCACTTAATGCCACTATACAATGTAACATCCACTTTTCACTATTTATGTTACGAGTCCCATCTAATAGGGAGTGAGCCTATTGCCATATACCGGGCATATTTCCAGACTCCGTGCTACTAATGAGACTTTTTTAAAACCCAGTACTTTGCCAGACTCGGGAATCGAACCCGAGACCCCTTGCCCAGCAGTCGCGCTTACGACCACTCGGCCAATAAGGCTGTGCCGTAACTAATAAAAATAATGTTATTTTAAAGGCTCTTACAGTGAAACACTTTTTCTAATGGGCTAGGCTCATCTGTGTATTACACGGGTCTTAGTCCTTATCTCAGTCGCGGAGAACCTAACGGGTAACCGGGGCTCCGGCTCGACGTGCAGGAGAAGGAACGGGGTTGTTTTTAGTCAGTAAGAGTCTGACACTCCCTTCCGCCTCACCCAGGCGGGAGGAGTCATTCGATGATTTTCCCCCCTTAAAAAAAAAGTCCTTATCTCAAGTTATTCAATATCCTACCATAATAATATTGAAATACGAAAGTTTATATGTATATTTTTGTTTGTTATTCAGTCTCGTCAAAACGGCTGAAGGGGTCGAGATGTAATTTGGAACAGGGGTAGATATGGTCTGGAATAACATGTAGGCCACTTTTTATTCATAGGAACACGGGTGAAGCCGCCGGTAGAAGCTAGTTTAATATCTACTATATAAAAATAAGTCGGGGTTTCCTTCCTGACGCTATAACTCCAGAACACACGAACCGATTATTCGTTGGAAAGGTCTCGGGCACCGTGAGGTTTATAGCAAAGAAAATATTGGAAAAAAAAATCATCATCTTTTAATCACCAAACGAAATGTTACTTATAATGAAGCCATCTGGTGGCGAAACGGAGTTCGCCGGGTTTGTTAGTAGTTTATAAGAAAGGGAATAGTATTGGTAGAAATATGGAATGAAATTTATTTAAGTTTTCGGCGGAGGTACATATTTTTTCAATCCTACATTGATCGATAGGCAAAAGTCCTTCATAGGTCCTTCCCTTAAGCCCCCTTTAAGGCCAAAAATACTTTTTGATGGACAATAGGGCTAAACCGAAAAGTGGGTATTCTGTAAACATACCTCTCGCTCTTTTGAAGATTACTGAGCGGTGCTATGTCTGTAAATGTGTATAGAACTTTTGTATCAAAGGCGATGATATCAAAAAAGGCTTTTAGGGAATGAGAATTTTAGTGCCTCGGCCTTGTGTCTTGGCCGAGTGGTCGCAAGTGCGACCGGGGAATGGGTCCCGGGGTCGGGTAAAGTATTATTATGTTATTTCAAAAAGTCTCAGTAGTAGCACGGAGTCTGGAATTGTGCCTGATATATGGCAATAGGTTCACCTCCTATTACATGGGGCTCATAACATAAATAGTGAAAAGTGGGTGTTACATTGTACAGTGGCATAATGTACACCTCTGCCTACCCCTTCGGGGATAAAAGGCGTGATGATGTTATGTTCAAAAAGTCTCAGTAGTAGCACGGAGTCTGGAATAGTGCCTGATATATGGCAATAGGTTCACCTCCTATTACATGGGACTCATAACATAAATAGTGAAAAGTGGGTGTTACATTGTACAGTGGCATTAAGAGCCGTAATGTAGCGAGGCGTGAAGTTATGTGTTATTATGTTATGTTAGAATTTTAGTATATCGTGTGCCAACAATAGTTAAAGAGATACATCAAAAGTTAGTTCATGTGATATAGTTAGTTAGTTTAGCAATTAGGTGTTCTAACTTAATAACACGAGGGTACATAATGTGTTATCCAGTTCAATAGAAGTTGTTATACAAGCATTAAGTTTGTAAGGATTAGTGTTTAATTAGAGTTAGGTAATACGTCGACTAAGTTTTAGTATAGTGCCATAACAACGCCCAAAATAGGCTTTTCTTTCTTTTTCAGTGCTAATATGAACATAAGTAAAAGAAAGGGTACGTTGAAAAAAGATGGACGCAATATCAGTTATAAACGATTGAAGCACCAAAATATCAGTGGTGTATTTATATGTGCGTGTACTTGCAACACCGTAATGTATGACGGACGAGCCATGTCACGCGACAGATGTCCATCGTGTCAATGTGTGTGTATTCTGCGTGTAAGTCTATAGTCGTCAGGTGCCACAGTCGTTGTTTAAGAGACTATGTCCGCCTTTTTTCAACATCCTTGTGAAAAAAATTATTATGTTTTCGGCTTACTCACGTAATTATTTGAAGAGAAACTCGATTAGTTTCCAGCCATGCTAGAGGCTCATATTCATGAGCAGCATTTCGCGACCCGCGACGCGGCGACTGTCGCGCTGCTACTGGCTACTCGAGTCTGCAGGCCCTTTTTTGGGGGCGGTTTTCGGCTTACTTACGTAACATAAGAATTTATTTAGTATGTCTCACGGAAGTTATAATCCTTGTGAAATATTGCCTCATGATACAACGTCAGTCAACAAGTCGTGGTGGCCCGGGGTAAGACGCCAGCTTCTCAAGCATGAGAGTGCGGTTTCGAAACCTACCAACAGCAAGCACCAATGTGACTTTTCCGAGATTTAATTATGTACTTTCTAAGATTATTTAGACACCACTGACAAACGGAGAAGGAAAACAAAGTGAGGAAACCTGGGCGTACAATTTCTAATTATAAGTTTGGAATCGCTAACCTGCATTGAGCAAGCGTGGTGATTAATGCTCAAACCTTCTACGTAGGAGCAGAGGCTTTGCTCAGCAGTAGGCATTTATAGGATAATGATGATACAACAGTTAGGTATAAAACTTGACTGGATTTTAGTGTTACATTGTTCTCGTACAATCCAAACAACAAAACTATGTAACTAGAAATTGTATTGTAAACCCGATTAAAAAAGAATAACCTATGGAGTTTCTTGCTAGTTCTTCTCCATAGGAATCCACACCTTGAAATAAGCAAATAGCTTCACTTTTATTTTTTTTTTTTGTTGACATTCAAGCTGCCTTTCTGGTATAATTGAAATAAATGATTTTGACTTGACTTTAAGCTTTTATAATTATATCTTTTCTCCCACAGTCTGGGCAAGCAGATGGTGTCAGACGCTCACCCAGCTCCTTGGTTCGCGAATATGATCGCTCGTACCGTGGACGCCGACGGCCTAGTAGCACAGGGTGACACCACTCATTACCTTCTCCTACCAGCCAGCGAGCTCAGTGCTGAACGTAGCGATGAGCGGAGCGGGGACGATGAACGGAGAAAACGGCCGCGACACTTCCCGCCTAAAGTTAAATTGTTAGCTAGAGTCAGTTTGATAGATGAGAGAGGATGTAATGGGCCTGCTGGAAACGCTACCGCTTATGGTAAGTCATAAATATTTCTAGAACTTACCTACATTGGTCACTCGCCTTAACTCTCTCCGTGGGTTTCGTAAGAGACGCCTTACGGGACTTGTATTTAAGAATTTCAAAATTATTTTCAGATCCTGCGGCAGCGGCGGCAGCCTCGAGCAAATTTTCTTTTGGAACCTATGTGAGTATTTACAGTTCATGAGATAAATAATTATATTTTTGTGAAGGTAAATCCATTACCATTTACTGATAGGAAATCAGTCGCTTGCCACATCATCATCATCAGCCCGTATTCATCTACTGCTCTCTCCAATGGCCTCTCCAATGGCACACCACTGAGCTCGGTCTTCAGCTCTTCTCATCCAACCACTGCCAGCCATCTTGCGGATATTGTCACTTCACCAACTAGCCGGAGGGTTCCGTTCGCCTAGACGCATGCCACATTTTACCTCAAAAAAAAAAACAAATATAAAGTCCATTCTCTCTTTCGAAGAAGAAGAATATATGGTAGATAATCCATATTTATCAAAACCTTTTTTTACATTACCAGGCGATCCTAGGCGCCTTACTCGGTGCTTGGGCGATGGGTGCAGTGTTCGTTTTAAGCGCTCGCGTCGTAAAACGCGTACTGAAATCATTCCGCCCCGCTCCTGTCTCCGCTCCGCTTGAGCCACTGCGTCGTAGGCCTGCCTGGTTCCCGCTGCAGCTGCGTGGGTAAGTAATAGGATTATAAGTTTTATAACTAATGTTATAAGGTGTATTTAAGGTTATTCTCAAAGGTTTGCGGATTATGTTTCTCGCGATATTTTTGTGGATTATTTCACAATTTTTTTTGTATCTTTCTAGGAATCAACTACTTATCTACCTACATCATTTTTTTTCTGTATTACATTTTCTGTTTTTACAACAAAATAACATAACAGGGAATATTATGATTATACTTAAATAACTACAGAAACTTATTATATCCATGCACTTATCATTGCGCGCGTACTTTTCCCGACTTTGGGAAAAGTCTTTATGAATTTCCTTAATATTTTTTTATTTAATATAAAAAGCCTTACATGTGTAAACCTCATTATTAATTGTTAGGTAAGATGAACCCGTTCTCAACCTTTTTACCTAGAATTTAATTACACAAATAATTTTTAATTTTCTCTAGATAGCAACCACGTTTAAGAATAAATTCCTTCTATCATTTTCTAAAAAAGATAAGACATTGAGCAACAAATTAACATTCAGGACATTACCTAATACCTACAACTAAAACAGTAACCTCAACCCTAAAACGAAGAACATAAAGCATAATTTCCCACAACATTTTACACTATAATTTCAAACTAGGTAACTTTTGACGCGTGTAACGGACAACTCGAAGGTTTTCCATTAAAAAATAATAATTTATTCAGTCTCAAAGTGATGTGACTAGTTGAACCCTTTTTGGGTGAAGTTTGTTCTGAAATATGAAAGCGTATTCATGACGTAGAGAAGGTCTATTTTGATAATAAATAAGTAATTAGATAGACTAATTAGATAGCGTATTGTTTAGTTTCATTAGTGAATTCAAAATAAGTAATTTTATTACTTTTATACTTAATAACTATCATGACATATACGTACTAAATTAAGTAAAAATCGCCGGCAGTGGCGTAACTTCTTCCTTCCTTCCTTTCTTCTCCCTTTGGAGCCCGTGGCAAATTCATCGATTCGAACGAATGGGCCTTCGCTCCCAATAAAAAACAGAGAAGTTCAGATGAATACCTCTGAACGGGGCCCTTCCCCGCTAGGGGCCCGTGGCATTTCACCGGTTTGCCACCCTGTAGTTACGCCACTGATCGCGGGTTACTCACGCGAAAGTACTGATAAAAGCTCTACTAGTTTCGAACCACAGAGGGGTTCTTGTTTACATAACTTTTACACCGCGCCATTCCATGCGTCGGCGTTCAGAGAAAGAAGAAGAGACCACAGATAATCTATTGACGTTTGACATTCCGTGGCTGTCAACGTCAAACGTCATCTGGCTTAAAGGCCATGTTACACTTTGGTCATAGTGGCTGTAATAGTACTGCTTGATACTCGTAGACTGTTTCAGAGTCGCAAAAGATAGCTAAGCTATTTTGTAATTGTTTGTTTGAACTTTCGAAGTGGGCTCGATCGCGTTCTCACCCGTCATTGGTCGAGATTATTCTAACAACCAATGGCATGGCGGGCTGCTATTCAGTACACTTCGATCTTTCTAATTGAAAGTTACATAATAGTATAATAGTTCTATTAGGCAATAGTCTAGGTAATTGATTGTGATAAAAACTTCCAGCAATTTGTTTTTGATCTTAGTTGAAAGACAAACATCCTCATGAAGTTCTTGACATAAGAAAACAAACTGGGAGTGAAAAACAAATGGGAGTGTCAGACTCTTACTGACTAAAAACAACCCCGGTGTTTCGTAACCCAGTGCGGCTCCAATGAGTACTAAATCTTAAGAAAAAAGTGTCTAGACACTTGAAAATTTAATACCTATCCAATCATACAACATTATATAGCTTGTAGGTATCTAATTAAAGTTTCGAACGACTTAAATCAGAATTAAAATTGTTATTTAGACTTTGGCAATTACATAACATAACA